TGACGATGACGCCCGAATGGTACAACGGTTCGGTTCTACGTTCCACGCGCGGAATCACATGCTGGCACGGCGCGCGAGCTCGCGTCCGAGGCGCGCCATCGCGACCGAAACGCGCCAGGAAGTAAAGCAGCTGAGCTTCAATGCCCGATTGTCAGGCCTGGTTCCGAAGGCGCGCCCGCGGAACTGCGTCTGCGAAGCGTAAATTCTGAAGGCCCGCCACCCCTTGCATCTCCGACTTTCCCCGTGCATGTTGTCGATATCGTGCGTGCGTGTGTTTTGCAAGATGAGCCATGATGCTCGTCGATGGTCCTCGCCGAGGAAAAAATGCACGCGTCCAAGCGATGCGGGGCCAGGGGCCCGGGGGCGGCCCCCGCGAGAATCGCGCGCGGGGCCGCCCTGGGCTGGCCCAAGGGCCGCGCGCTGACCAGAGGCCTCCGGTAAGGGACCGCCCAGAGGCAGACTCCGAAAACGGAACAAAAAACGTTTGCGCTGGCGCTGGGCGGCACCAAGGCGCAGGCGGCGCGCGCCCCGCGAGGGCGCCGACGCGGCGGCGGCGGCCGCCGCGGCCGCCAGGGCGCGGCAGCGGCGGGGGCAGCCGCCGCCAGCGGCCTCTTCGCCGTTAGTGCGTGGCGGGCCCACGCGGCATCGCAGGGGCCCGCCCGGGCTGGTTGCTTGCGCCGCCGCTGCCGGGCGCCGACCTGGCAGCGGCTGGCGAACAAGCCTTTTCAGCGACTGGGCCCCGGCGCTGCCGCCGCGCGCCGCTGCCCCGCTGCTGGCGCCGCCGGCCCGGGCGGGCGGCGCGGAAGCCGCGCGGCGCGAGGCGCAGCCCGCGGCGCCCGGATTAATGAATTGCGCGTTCCCCTCCCCTCCTTCCCCCCCCCCTATCTGCCGCGGGGCGCTCCGAGGACGGCGGTGCAAACGTGCCTCTCTCGCGCCTCCCGCTGGCGGCGCGCGCCAAGGGTAGCTCGAAGGAGATCAGGACTTCTCAACTGGCGGAGGGCGGGTTTTAGGAGACAAGGGTCTTCTTGACAGGGCACGGAAGTTTCAGGAAAGGGTTTTCATGATAGGGCCCAGACGCTTCCAGAAAGGCCCCTTAAGGGCCAGGAGTGCTTCTCCCTAAGAATCCACTCGCCCTCCCATAGCATGCCACCCCCATCGACCCGCCCCCAGCGTAAATCCACTTGAATCTGGTCTTTGGACCAATCCCGGGCTCAATCACCCTGGCTAAGTTCTGTCTGTGCTCAGCCGCGGCTACGGGGGCTCCCCGAGAGAGCCCGAAATGTCCAAACACCTTCCTTAGAACTCTGCCAGAGGAGCATCACAAAGTGGAGATATTCTCACTGCGCACAGGGGTGTGCGCCCATGGTTGTTCATCTTGGGTCGGCTTTGGTCTGTCCCGGGCCTGCGAAACTGTCTACGGGAGAAAACACATCGAGAAACCATCGGCTACTATTTGTTGCTACGCGAGAATCTTAAGCATAACCTCAATTCTTCCCATCTTGGTACGCAAGTAGAAGAAATCGAGAGGATGCCCAAGAGAGAACGGTGTCGCAAACCGACAATGGCCGTTGTTTGGCGGGCTATGACCGTTTCCGACGGACAACTGACGTCTGCGGCGCGCCCGACAGCGAGTCAATGAACAGGAGCTAATGCCACTATTATTCCCCATGCTTCCCGCCCCCATTTCGATCCTCCCTGCTCGATTCTGGGACATCCGCCGCCTGCGACCGTTGAGTTCGCGCCCCAATTTTCGAATGTTGAACGGGGTGAATCCACCGGCGCGGACCATAAAGGTCGAGGCTGCCGACACTTCTCTTTGCGAGCTTGGCTAGCAGGGCGGGCAGCAGTAGTAGCAGTCCACCCTGCGACGTCGTCCCACGGGCCCGTGTGCATGACCCTGCGGACAGGGAAGAACTGTTTTTAGGTATAAGGATGGGTATGGACCTGTGGGACGAACAGACATCAGTGCCACAAACGCCACCTCCACGGCGCCCGAAATTGAAGAAATACATCCCGCCAGTGAAAGAATCTCGAGCGCGAAAGATACCCGTACCCTTACCCAGACGGGGTGGCAAGGGGCCCTCGGGGCATCACCCCCCCTGGGTCCGGGTCGGCTCCCGAAACCACCATACATACCCGTACCTAGACGGGGTGACCCAACCACCACCCCAGCTAGGTCCGGGTATGTATGGTTGTTTCGGGCACCGACCCGTACCCAGACGAGGTGGCGGCAAGGCCGAAAACGCTCTAGCGGGCGGCCCTTTTCACCCCAGCTGACCCCGGGTCCGGGTATGTTTTGGGCTAGTGAAAGAAGGCACGTCGTACAAGTTGAGACAATACATCAAACCACGCTTCCCAGCTGTTGCTGTGCAGCGCCGCCGTCCTGTAACCGTGACGCGCCACTCGATCAAGCTGAACGCGGTCTCGTTCTTCATGGTGCGCCCAATAGGCGTGGCATGCTCGAACTATCAACTGATCAATCTTCCTCTCCTCGAAACCAAGAAGCTCAATCAGCGAATGGACCGACTCAGGCACGCCAGCTCTAGCTTCGAAGACCCGCCAATGGTAGCCGCACGCAGCGTAGTGCTCGATGGGGTCTTCGCCGGAGAAATGTTGGCACAGCTGGCGATGCCCTTCAGTATCCTGAAGGCGGCGTTGGGTACACCGGCCATTGCACCACGTACTGATCAAGCAGAATACGACACAAAGAGGAACGTGATTCCTGAATGTCGACAACGTGTCCACGACACAGGAGGTCACTCTCTTCGCCTCGCCCTCTGAAAACCACCGGCTCAAATTCCGAGCTAACTCACGACTAGGGTCGAACGGGTGCAGGATAGGTAATAGAAACTGATCTATCATCTTCTGTAAATGATCGACATCCGCATAAGGGCTGCCCGTATTGATGCCGCGCACGACTTTGAACCCATACGTTTCTGGCATTCCGCGTCTGATGCGCTGATGCCCTTCTCCTCCTCTGGTCCTCCGCGCGGCCGCCCTTATCCTTTTTGTTCCCCTCTTGCACGCCGGCCAATTCGCCTTTCGGTCGCCCAGAGTCGCCACCCGCTGGAGCAGCTTCTCTGCCTCGCCGCTGACGAAAAAAGTGTTTTCCCATATGCCCCCCCCAAGTCCCGACCATTTCCTCGGGACCAGCTGCTCCACCCCCAAAGCCCGAGGGCGGCGTTCGGAAGTACAGACGTCCAGACGCTGTGTTGAGACGTTGTGCGTCCAGGCCAGTCGGCCTGGCTTGGCTGGCTTGGCTGCCGGCAGCTCTGAGTGGCCCAGTTTCCTCTCTTCCCGTCGCTCCATGGCTCCTCCTCCTCCTCCTCCTCCTCCTCCTTCCATGCATTGCGGCCTTAATTTGCATACAGCGTGTCCCCTGTTGCCAATCCGCCGGAGCAGTGGCCTTCTGCCCAGCCGCCGACGCAAAAAGGTTGTCGAGACGCCGTGGCCGGGCCACTCGGTTTGGCTGAGGTGGAACGATACGGGGGAATTGGCTCAAGGGAGGAAGCATCGACATGGAATCGGCGATGCATCGCCGATAGATCGGCGACAAAACCCCGATTGCGAGCCCGCTCGCTCCTGGGCGGGGTGGTCTACCAGGTCCCTGACGGCGACCAGTGAGGGACTGGGGGATGTCTTGCGCATGCTAAAACTTGTCGGAACCCCGAAACCAACTTCATACTGGTTGTGGTCGATGTGACGTCCCATGACAACCAGACCGACCACAAACACAAGCAGAGTGCTCACGCCGAGATGGGCGGGTTCTCCCCCGAGGGACCCTCCAGAAATATCCACTCAGTTGTCGTTGTGATTCTTTACTGCGCCCAGAGTTTGGTCCCCCAAGCGATCCTCCCCCGTGAGGAGGCCCGCCACGTGCACCATCCCGGCCTGCATGTGGCTCCAGCGGCGGCCCCCCGGCGGGATCGGCAGCGGCCGCGGCCGGAGCATCCTCTTGCAGGGCCTGTGGCACCAGGAGGGAGGAGGGGCCTCTCCCTCCAGGAATGATATTCGTCCTCCACCTCCTCCTGCTGCTCCTCGTGCTCCTCCTGCCCCTCCTCCTCCTCCTCCTCCTCCTCCTCCTCCTCCTCCTCCTCCTCCTCCTCCTCACTCTCCTCCTCCTCCTCCTGCTCCTGCTCCTGCTCCTGCTCCTCCTCCTCCTCCTCTTCCTCCTCCCCCCCTACCCCCAATCGATAACCGCCTGGCTCTCAAACTCAGAGACGCAAGCGCCTCGGGCTCGGTCCGTGGGCGCGCCGCCGCTGAGATGATGCCAGGCACGCTGCACGAGAGCCGCGCCGCCTTGGAGGCGGCGCGCGGCGCCCTCGTGGCGGTCAATGCTGCAAGCGGCCTCGCCGCACCGCACTCTCGTGATCGGCTTCTATAGACAAACAACGGCATAACCATAAATTAACGTTTGGCGCTCCGCGTTGATTTTTTGAATCTGCGCTAGGCCCCGCCTGGCGGCGCATGCGGCGCCGCCCCAGAGGCGCTTGCAGATGGCGGCGGCGACAACTCGCAGACAGATGCGGTCAAGGTGGTGGCGGATGACGGCGAGGCCGTTGCCGACACGCCGAGTGGGAGGCTTGGCGAGGCGGCGGCTGCAGGCGCGGGCGCGGTTGCGGGCGAGCAGCGCGACGCTAACACGCTCGACGACTCTTGGGCCGACGGCCTGAGAGAGGCGCCTGCCTTGAGCAACCGCGTGTGCATAGCGTGTGCATCGCGATGGCCGCACCAGCTGGCCGCCCCGGCCGCTGGTGAGCGCTCTCCCTCCCGCCGCCCCGCGGCCGTTCCCTCCTTCCCCTTGTCCCGCTCTGGCCGCCGGACAATTGGCGATGCCGTCCCTCGGCTTGCCCGAGCACGCGTGCGGCGTGAGAAGTACGGAGGAGGAGGAGAAGGGGGAGGAGGAGGAGGAGGAGGAGGAGGAGGAGGAGGAGGAGGAGGAGGAGGAGGAGGAGGAGGAGGAGGAGGAGGAGGAGGAGGAGGAGGAGGAGGAGGGAGGAGGAGGGGGAGGAGAAGGAGGAGGACGAGGAGGAGGAGGAGGGGAGAGAGAGGAGGAGCAGGAGGAGGATGAGGCATCGCGACGGGCCAGAACGCTGGGCGCGCTGGCGGCGTCATTAGTGCAACCGCTGCGATCGCCCGCGTTCGTCCCGCCAGCGCTTGGCGGCTCGGCTCAGCCAACGGGTCCTGCGGCAGCGTTGGGAGGGAGGCCGAGGAGCCACGGCGCGCGGGTGCGGCCGCCAGGGCAGCGGGGGCGGCAGGTCGTCGCGGTCCTCCTTGGCCTCCTCGCTGAGCTCCTCTGAGCTCCTCGGGCTTGCTTGCCCAGATCAGGAACGGGTCTTGCGCGAGATGACGTAGCGACCTGGCGCCGTGGCTTGCGCGGGCCGCCAGCGCAGCACGAGACATGGGAGACGAGAGCGCTCACACGCGACCTTACGTGGGCAGCTTACGCGCCAATGGCGGCGAAGACGACCCCGCTTCTGGCGTTGCCCATCTGGTTCTGCCCTCAGTGGCCCGATGATAACCCAAATCCGCTTCGTCGGTCCTCTTCTTTCTCTCGATCCTCGGACCTCCCCGGACCTCCTGCATCCTCCTGCATCCTCCTCCACCTCCTCCCGCGGGCGCACTCCCGCGCGCGTGGGAGGGGAGAGAAGGAAGGCTCCAAGAGGGTGGAGGAGAAGGATGATCCTGACTACGGTCGAAGCGCGATGCTCCCAATAGGCCCAAATACCTCCCGCAACCTAAAGAAAGCAACTGACCTTGACCTTCTAACCGCTTCGCTTGCAGAAAGTTTCTCGAACCTCAAAAGAGCCACAAACATTTTTTTGTTGGTTGGGGGAGGGCATCCGGGCGGCTCTCGGGGGATGGGAGCGGCCGCGACGCGGAGGGGAGCGGCCGCGACACTGGGGGAAGCCAATCTGAGCAACGTCGTAGCTTACTCGAAAGGAAGCCCCTTCCCTTTTATCTCTACCCCCCGCGACAGGGGGGGGTCCCACCCGGATGCCGGGGGGGGGAGCGGCACCCAGGCGGCTCCCTTCGGGGGAAGGGAGCGGCCGCGACGCGGAGGGGAACGGCCGCGACCCGGGGGGGAAGCCAATTTGCCCCCCTGGGCACGGGGGGAAAGCCAATCTGAGCAACGTCGTAGCTTACTCGAAGGGAAGCCCTTTCCCTTTTTTCCCTTCCCCCGAGGGGGTTGGGGGGGGTTGGGGGGGGTCACATCCGGATACCCGGGGTGCGGGGGGAGCACCCGGGCGGCTCCGTTCGGGGAAGGGGAGCGGCCGCGACACGGAGGGGAAGCCCCCCTCGGGGGAGGGGGGCTGCCCACGACACCGCCGCGTCGGCTCTAAGAGGGTGAGTGGACCGACCCTCCCCGGGCGAGGGGAGCGGCCGCGACCCGGGGGGGAAGCCAATCTGCTCCCCCCCGCACACTGGGGGGAAGCCAATCTCAGCAACGTCGTGGCTTACTCGAAGAGAAGCCCCTTCCCTTTTATCCCTCCCCCCCGAGGGAGGGGGGGGGGTCCACCCGGATGCCCGGGGAGGGGGGGGGGGGCACCCGGGCGGCTCCCTTCGGGGGAGGGGAGCGACCGCGGCCGCGACACGGAGGAAAAACCAATCTCAGCAACGTCGTGGCTTACTCGAAGGGAAGCCCCTTCCCTTTTATATCCCTTCCCCCCGCGAGGGGGGGGTCCCACCGGGATACCCGGGGGTATGGGGGCAAACGGGCGGCTCCGTTCGGGGGAAGGGAGCGGCCGCGACGCGGAGGGGAGCGGCCGCGACACGGGGGGGAAGCCAATCTGAGCAACGTCGTAACTTAGTCGAAGGGAAGCCCCTTCCTTTTTTATCTCTTCCCCCCGAGGGGGGGGGAGGGGGGGGGTCCACCCGGATAACCGGGGGGGGGGGGCACCCGGGCGGCTCCCTTCGGGAGAGGGGAGCGGCCGCGACGCGGAGGGGAAGCCAATCTGAGCAACGTCGGTGTTTACTCGAAGGGGGAGTGTCCCGGAAAGGGGTCCCAGGGGGTCCCGGGTCAGAATACCACCTTCCCGGGGTCCATGCATGACCCGCCCTCTCCCTCCCATTCCCATCGAAGGCCGAGGCCTCCAGGGTCGGCGGCACCGGCCGTAAGGCCTTAGCAATAGAAACAACCCCCAAGATTCTCCTATATTCCATGATAGTTTCTGGACGCTCGCCTTCTCCGCCACTTCTCATCGTGTCCCATTTTCTCCTGGGGATCGATGATTACTTGTGTCTGTGTGCTTCTCTTCCTCCCGGCACGAAGCGTTCGTGGCGGGGGGGCAGGGAGGCTCGGGCACCCCAGGGGTAATTCACGGTAGTCCCACCAGCCCTTTGGGCGTGAGTGGTTTAGCGAGCTTTCTCTGTTCTCAACCCCCCAACCCCCTTCTTCCCCTTCGGGGAGGGGTTTACCCCTCCCCCTACCCCCTCCCCCTGGGTCTGGAGAGGGCGTCCCGCGGGTCGTTGGAGGGGTCTTTTCCGATTCCTGGGAGGGCCAAAAAACGACGACCCTCACGAGGATTCTGGCCCCGTCGGGGGGACCGAGAAAAAATGCTTTCCTCTTCTCTGAAGCCAAAATCCTTGATTTTACTACGGTGTTGGCCCCATTTTGGCCGTCTGAGGGGCCAGCGCTGCTGCTCCTTGTTCTCAAAATTATTGATTTTACAAAGGTTTTGGGCTCATTTTGTCTTTCTGAGGGGGTAGCGCTCATTTGCGCTTCTCAGGAGGTCGCAAGAAGCCCCCAAGAGGCCCCAAGATGCCCCCTGGAGGCTCCCAAGAGGCCTCCAAGAGGCTCCCCAGCCGCCCCCAAGAGGCCTCCAGAGGCTCCCAAGAGGCACCCCAGAGGCGTCCACGAGGCCCCCAGAGCCCCCAAGAGGCTCCCAAGAGGCCCCCAAGAGTCTCCCAAGAGGCGCCCAAGAGGCCCCAAGAGGCCCCCAAGAGGCTCCCAAGAGGCCCCACCAGGAGCCCGAACGACTCACACCAGGACGAGGGGCCCGAACGACTCACACCACGAAGAGCCCGAACGACTCACACCACAACGAGGGGCCCGAACGACTCATACCAGGACGAGGCGCCCGACCGACTCGCACCACGAGGAGCCCGAACGACTCACACCACGACGCGGGCCTCGAACGACTCACACCACGTGGAGCCCGATCGAGTCACACCAGGAGGAGGGGCAGCGCTCATACAAGCCCCCCAAGAGGGCCCCCAGAGGTCCACCAGATGGCCCCAAGAGGTCCCCAGATGGCCCACAGTCTCAAAAGTATTGATTCTACGAAGGTTTTGGGCTCATTTTGTCCTTCTCAGGGGGTAGCGCTCATTTGCGCTTCTGAGGAGGTCGCAAGAAGCCCCCAAGAGGCCCCAAGATGCCCCCAGGAGGCTCCCAAGAGGCCTCCAAGAGGCTCCCAAGCCGCCCCCAAGAGGCCTCCAGAGGCTCCCAAGAGGCCCCCCAGAGGCTCCCACGAGGCCCCCAGAGCCCCCAAGAGGCTCCCAAGAGGCCCCCAAGAGTCTCCCAAGAGGCGCCCAAGAGGCCCCAAGAGGCCCCCAAGAGGCTCCCAAGAGGCCCCACGAGGAGCCCGAACGACTCACACCAGGACGAGGGGCCCGAACGACTCACACCACGAAGAGCCCGAACGACTCACACCACAACGAGGGGCCCGAACGACTCATACCAGGACGAGGCGCCCGACCGACTCACACCACGAGGAGCCCGAAGGACTCACACCACGACGCGGGCCTCGAACGACGTACACCACGTGGAGCCCGAACGAGTCACAGCAGGACGAGGGGCAGCGCTTATACAAGCCCCCCAAGAGGGCCCCCAGAGGTCCACCAGATGGCCCCAAGAGGCCCCCAGATGGCCCACAGTCTCAAAATCCCACCAGCCCTTTGGGCGTGAGTGGTTTAGAGAGCCCGCTCTGTCCTCAACCCCCCTTCTTCCCCTTCGGGGAGGGGTTTACCCCTCCCCCTACCCCCTCCCCCTGGACCTGGAGAGGGCGCCCCGCGGGTCGTTGGAGGGGTCTTTTTCGACTCCTGGGAGGGCCAAAAAACGACTACCCTCACGAGGATTCTGGCCCCGAGGGGGGGGAGGGAGTTTGGTCCCTGAACTCGTCGTTGAAGTAAAAAACATTGATTTTACTACGGTTTTGGCCCCATGTTGGCCTTCAGAGGGGGCCGCGCTCCTCGTCCTTCTTAGCAAAATCATTGATTTTACGAAGGTTTTGGGCTGATTTTGTCCTTCTCAGGGGTCAGCGCTTCTTAGCGCTTCTGAGGAGATCGCCAGAGACCCCAAGATAGCCCCAAGAGGCCCCCAGGAGGCTCCCAAGAGGCCTCCTGGAGGCCCCCAAGAGGCCCCCCAGAGGCCCCAAGAGGCCCCCAAGAGGCCCCCAAGAGGCCCCCAAGAGGCCCCAAGAGGCCCCAAGAGGCCCCCAAGAGGCCCCCAAGACGCCCCCAAGAGGCCCCCAAGAGGCCCCAAGAGGCTCCAAGAGGCCCCCAAGAGGCCCCACGAGGAGCCCGAACGACTCACACCAGGACGAGGGGCCCGAACGACTCACACCACGAAGAGCCCGAACGACTCACACCACAAGGAGGGGCCCGAACGACTCACACCAGGACGAGCCGCCCGAACGACTCACACCATGAGGAGCCCGAACGACTCACACCACGACGCGGGCCTCGAACGACTCACACCACGAGGAGCCCGAACGAGTCACACCAGGATGACGGGCAGCGCTCATACAAGCCCCCCACGATGGCCCCCAGAGGTCCACCAGATGGCCCCTAGAGTTCCCCAGATGGCCCACAAGAGGTCCCCAGGAGGCACCACGAGGCCTCATGTTTCGCAAGAGTTGCTGTTTTGAGATGGGCTGGTGGGGATACGCGAAGCGTGAAGAATTTTCACGGGGGCGGCGCGGGAACTGTACCGGCCGCAGAAGAAGCCATAGCAGCAGTAGCAGGCCGTCGGCGAACGGCGACGACGTCGAGGATTAATGAGACGCCAACGGCGACGACGACCAGCGGCGACCACGACGACGAGGACGACGACGGCCGGTGGCGGCGACGGCCGGCGGCGGCGACCACGGCGACAACCAGAGAAGGCGGCGGCGACGACGACCTCCTCTCCTTCCCCCTCCCCGTGCGTGAAACGCGCGCAGGAAGGGGGGCGGGGGGGAAGGCTCTTCGCTGAATCTCGCCGCCAAGCTTGAGCAGGGACCGACCGTCCCAGCAATCCTGTAGGCCTACCACGAAAATTTTCTGAGAACCAAAATGATCAACGAAAAAACATAGGTTCCCCGACGTGTTAAAACAAGACGGTCTCGGCCAACAGCGTTCCAAGAACATTCCGTGCAGACCACAATAGGTTCTTAGAACATCCTCTGGTGGGCCTACAGGCAAGCCAAGACGCTTCGCCACTGCTTGAATGGGGGGGAAGGCTGTTCGCTGAATCTGGGCACCGTCGCGAAGGTATGCCGTCCCGTTGACTCCATGCGCGTCCCGGGGCGCAAAAGCCGTTACTCGAGCTCTCGGCCAACATCCCCGGGACATTGCATGCCACCCGGGCCGCTCTCCTGAGAACGGCCCTGGGCCCGGAGGAGATCCGGGAGGCCCACGCTTCGAAAGCCGGCCGCCGAGATTCTTGAAGGGGCCGAGGGACACGCAAATAAATAGTCACAAACCCTACGATTCTCCACATCGTTCAAAATATATTCTGGCCTCTCGTCGTACCCCCCACTTCATATGTGTTCCATATTTTCCGGGGAATCGACATCTTTATAATCTACATATATATACATGTGTTGTATACATCTCTCTTGTTATCCCCTCTGAATTCTGGAGGTCGGGCTCGGCGGCCTGACACAATCCAAGCTAAATTACCGAAGAGGCATCACCATCCCCTCCTACTCCTCTTCCTGCTTCACCTCCCTCCCTCTTCCTCTTCCTCCCTCCTTTGCCCCTCCCCTCTCCTTCGGAGGAGCGCGAGGAGGAGGGAAAGGGTGGGGGGAGAGCATGGAGGACGAGAGGGGAAGGGAGAGAGGGAGGGGCAGGAGGGGTAGGAGGGAGGGCGGCTGCTTCACCCCTCCTGACGTTGGCCAACACGCAGAATCCTCTTCTTGCCATCGCTCGGTCGTCCATTCCCCGTGTTTGTCGGTGTCGTGCGTGTTTTGTTTTGCAAGATGATCCAGGATGCTCTTCGATGACCCTCGCCGAGACAATGCACACAGCCGAGCGATGCCAAAGCTTCGAACACCACAGCCGATCCCGGCACAGGGCGGTGGTGAAGGACGAGGGCGAGATGAGAGGTGAGAGGGGATCTCCCCACGGCGACAGAGCCTTGAAAGTCTGGGGCGCTCCTGGGTCACCCAAAGTCGAGCATCGCGCCCCGCGATGCGCGATGATCGTCGCACCCGCGCGCACTCACGCCGACCCCATGGAGGGCAACCGCTCTGGCCCAGACCGCGACGCGCGATGCGCGATCACCTTTCGTGCCCCCGCGGGTGGCCTAGGCGCTCCAGGAATCACCGGGGAATCCGAGCTCTCGTGCCACTTCCCGACCGAGCGTGGGAGGACGAGGCGGCGAGGGAGGAGGAGCGAGGTGCGGAGGGAGGAGAAGAGGGAGGAGTGAGGGAGGAGGAGGGAGGATGGAGGAAGTCTACCTGCTTCGATGCGGGGTGGGGGAGGAATGCGGCGGGAAGGAGCAAGGGAGGCAGGGAAGGACACGGATCTGGAGCGATCCGGGCGGCTGGGTGGCGGGCTGGCCGAAGCCCAGGCAGCCCTCCTTGCCCCAGCCGCAGGCGTAGAAGCGCGGCGGGTCGCCTAACGTGCGCAGGAGCGGCACCGCCCCGGGAGGATGGGGGGAGGGAGGAGTGAGGTAAGGGGAGGAGAGGGTAGGGAATGAATGATGAGGATGAGGATGAGGATGAGGATGAGGAGGAGGAGTTGGAGTGGGAGGGGGAGGGGGGGAGGGAGGAGGGAGGAGAAGGGGGGGCGAGGCTGGAAAAGAGGGGGAGGGATCAGGAAGAGTATGTGGAAGAAGAAGAGATCCTCCTCCTCCTCCTCCTCCTTCTCATCCTCCTCCTCTTCCTTTACATCCGTCTCCTTCTCCTTCCTTGGCGTCTTTCTCTACCTCACCCTACTCTTTCGAATCATTATCGTCCTTCTTCTGCTCTCCTCTTGCTACGTCCTCCTCCGTCCTTCCCTGTCATCCTCCTCCTCCCCCACGAGCTTTCCGTTTAAGCCAGGGACCCCTCAGAAGAGGATCCACCCCCAGCCTTACAGATATACGAAATGCGGAGGGGGGACATGCAACTCAAAAGGTAGCGAGAGTCGTATTTCCACAAAGAACAGCCTCCCATACAATCAACCCGTATGGTAAGGATGCACGGTAAGGATGCAAGGGCCTTGGAAGGCCATGTGAATGTTATTCGAACGAGATTGGCCAGCTAACGTCGCCAGAGATGGGCCGAGGAGGCAAGGATGCAAAGGTACCCTGAAGATGGTTGCCCATACTTCCTATGCGGGTTGACTGTACGCGTAATTGATATAAGTCCCGTAAGGCTATCTTAGCCGATAGCCACATGACAAGAACCGCCCACCATACGTCTAACCGTTGACAACGTTTGAGGCGAACGTGCGTGGAACTACGCAAACAACTACACTCTGATAACAAACCACCATCCATGATCGTGATGTTCTCGCGATAGCCGCCATTACCGGCCCCGGCCGCCCCCTCAAGGTAATGACACGATTCGTGCTGACCTCCAAACTGTGTTAGTTTTTCAGAGAGCTCTACTCTTTGACATAATGGTCAACATTCAACTCTTAAAACAACCGCTGTGCCCGCTTGCGCTGGCCGCAGCTGGCGTCAATGCCGGGGTGGGGGCTCTGTCGAGGGAGGCAAGCCGGCACCATCGTCCGCCATGGAAAGACAGGTGCTCTGTTGTATGTGTATATGACACTGTGTCGGTAATTATGTGTGATGCTGCTACATGGGCGGGTGTACCCTGAGCCAGCGATCTTGAGCCAAAATGGTTACGGATGACCTTCGGCGATACATCGCTGATAGATCGGCGATAGGCCTCCGATACGAAATCCGCACGTTCCTGGGCGGGGTGGGGCTATCGGCCATCGGGCCCCTACCGGCGACGAATGGACGCTTGGGGGTCGACGTGCTATCCCCTCACATCGCGGCCCTTGGTCCTTCCTAGATCCGCCCCCTGTGCCGCTGGGCACAGAGCGAGCGTGTCCTCAAGTCTTTGGGCCCAATCCTCTAAGCCTCAGTCCTCACTCCTGAGGAGTCTTCAAGGTGTGGAGTCCCGAAACGGTGCGGTGACAAACTGTGCGGTGACCTCGAAGCCCCCAGGACCTCACCGCACGGTCCGTCAGCGCACGGTCTTGGGACCGTGGAGGCCCCTGTCGCCCGAGACGTCCTCGGAGAACGACCCGAGTCCCAAAACCGCGCGGTGACCCCGAATCCCCATCGACTCACCGCACGGTGTGGCCATCACCCCGTTTGGGGGCCCCCGATTCAAAGGGCCTGGCCCCCTCGCTCCCAAATCTCCCGGGCTTTTGGCGCCGTTCCGCTGGGGTTTCCCGCTGCCCGTCGCGGCTGGTCGCAGGACTGTCTCGGGCCCAAGAGGGCCCGAACCCATATGGGACGCACAGAGACATACTAATACTATACGTCCTCCTTGGGGGCGCGCGTCCGACCGGAACATATGATATGCCCATCTTGTAGTAGATCGTTGCGCGAGCGGTGCGGCCAGAAAACGCCCGCCACGACGCATAAACTATGAGATGTGTCGGTGCGCGCGTCGCCCCTGGGGGGGGCAACGCACATATAGTAAAGTATGTTGGGGCGACGCCGACCATACCCCCGGCACGGTGGCGGGATTGGCCGAAAGCCACTAGACCTGGCCTGGCACAGTAACGGAAAGAGCTGTCAGAAACAGAAGCCGAAGTTACTCACACCACCGTTCGTACCGGGAGCCTTGGCGTTGAGAGCTTGTTACGTCACCCCTCGCTCTTGGGAGCCTTGGTGTTCAGAGATTGTTGCGTTGCCGCCCGTTCCTGAGCCTTGGCTGGGCTTTGGTGTCAGGAGCTTGTTACGTCACCGCTTTCTGCTGGGAGCCTTGGTCTTATCAGCTTGTTTACGTCACCGTTCGCTCTTCGGAGCCTTGGTGTGAAGAGCTTTTTGCGGTACCGATCGCTCCTTGTTTGGCGTCTCTGGGCCTTCTTGGGGGTCCTATTGGAGCCCTTGGCAGGCCCTTTTGGAGGCCTCTTGGGAACCTCTTGGGGGCCTCTTGGGGCTTCTTGGGGGTCTGTGGGGGCCTCCTCGGAGCGTCTTGGGGCGAAAGGCTAGACTTTTCGGTTCGTGGTCCCCCTCTCTTGGGCCGTCTTGGGCGCCTCTTGGGCCGTCTTGGCGCCCTCTTGGGCCATTTTGGGGGCCTCTTGTGAGCCTGTTGGGCCGTCTTGGGGCGGTCTTTGGAGCTCTTGGACCGTCTTCAACGCCGTGAAAGCCGAAAAGCCTTGCATGCTAAAAATGTGCGTTTTCCATTCGACAATCCATGATTTTGGCCTCTGGCCTCGTGGGGCGCCTCTTGGTGGCCTTTTGGGGCTGCTTGGGGGGCTCCGGGGGCCTCCCGGGAGCGTTTAGGTGCGATAGGCTAGACTTGTCGGTTCGTGGTCCCCCTCTTGGGGCCCTCTTGGGCCGTCTTGGGCGCCTCTTGGGCCGTCTGGGGGCCCCCTCGGGCAGCTTTTGGAGCCTCTTGGGAGCCTCTTGGGCCGTCTTGGGGCGGTTTTGGGGGCCTCGTGGGCCGTCGTTAACGCCGCGAAAGGCGCAAAGCCGTACATCCTGAAAATTAAGATGTTCCTCTTGGAAAAATGTTTGGCCTCTTGAGGCCCTCTTTGGGGCGCCCCTTTGGCGCCTCTTGGAAGCCTTTTGGGTCGTCTTGGGCGGTTTCGGGCTCTCTTGGAGTGCTCGTGGGCCGCCTTGAGGAATAATCCGGAAAACGTGCCAAAACCCTAGGGACAACCACCAAAAACGGCCATTTGAACTGAAACGCTCGCGCTATGCCCCCCTGAACCCCCCCTTTAAGGAGCTTCGCCCAACACACAACGTCATCGTTCGTACCTCGTTTTTCCGTTACTGGCTAGGCATGGGGACGGAAAGCGCATTCATCTTGTGAGGGCGCGATGTGGCTGGCTTGGTGTCTCGTGGAGCCCTGTTGGTGGTAAGGCTTCGGCACGACATCACAAACATCGAACAACCAAACTTGCGAAAATCAATATGATTATTGCATTTTCAAGCCTTCCTGGCGGTCCTTTTGGAGCTCATTTGGCCCGTCTTGGGACCCTTTTTGGGCTGTCCCGGGACCCTGTTGGGCTGTCCCGGGGCCCTCTGGGGGCCTTCCTGGGTCCCCTGGGGATCTCTTGTGGCCCTCTTGGAGCCCTCCTTGGAACCTCTTGGGGCCCTAATGGGTCTCTCTCGGGCCGTCTTGGGGCTCTTTGGGCCGTATTGACGCCCACTTTGGCCGTCTTGGGGGCACCGGGGCCGTCTTGGGGCGGTCTCGGGGGCTCCCCGGGCTATTTTGGATGGCGCGGGCTAAAAATGCATGTCTTCCGAAGGGAATGGGGCAATGTCTGCCTCTTGGGAGTCCGTTTTGGGGCCTCTTGGGGCGTCTTGGGGGCCTCTTGGGCTGTCTGGAAGCCATACTGGGCCCTCGTTGAGCGCTTTTGGGCCATCTTCGGGCTCTTTGGGGCCTCTCCGACGCCGTCTTGAAATATCTTGGGGGCTCCTGGGGCTGTCTTGGGCCGTCTTGGGGGCCTCCTCCGCGCTCTCGGGGCTGACTTGGGCCGTCTTGGGTTGAAAATAACCGAACATAGGGCCCTTAGATCTGGGCCCTAAGCCGTTTACCCCCCCCACCCCCCCATGCAATTCCTCCCGACTAACGGATCGCTCGCGAAGCGCGCTTTCCGTCATCCCCCGCCCCCTGTGGTATTGCCACTGGGGTGTTTGGCGTGCTGAACTTCTACCGGTTTTGGTTGTGGTTCCTTTTCCAGAAAGGCTCTCCCCCAGGGTTCGGGCCCGTCCCGCTGGCCGCCCAGAAGTGTCCGGAAAGCCGCTGAGCATGTACATGCCAAGACCTTTCCCGCTCCAAGATGGCCCACGATGGCCTCCAAGTTCGCCCAAGATGGTCCAAGATGGCCTCCAAGACGGCTCAAGAGGGTCAAGATGCCTCCACGTCCGCCCAAGAAGCCTCCACAACGGGCCCAGTCGGCCCAGAGAGGCCCCAAGACAGCTTCCGACGGCGTGAGACGCGCCAGAAGCCCACCAAGACAGCCCAAGATGGCTCTAAGATGGCCCAGAATGGCCCAAGAGGCCCCCAAGAGATCTCCAAGACGACACAAGAGGCCTCCAAGGGGGCCTCCAGGAAGACGCGAAGAGACCGAAATCATTGATTGTCATGTGGGTTTTGGTTTTTGAAGGATTTGGCATTTGCTCCTTCCTTCCGACGGCCCGAGAACTCCCAAAGATCGCCCGAAAGGCCTCCAGGATGGCACCAACACGGCCCAGAGAGGCCCCCAAGACGGCTTTCGACGGCGTCAGTCCGGGCCAGGGATGCACTGAGAAGGCCGAAGAGGCCCACGCCCCCAAGAGGCCCAAGGAGGCCCCCAAGATGCCTCCAAAAGGCCCCCTGGAGGCTCCCAGGGGGCCCGAAGAGTGCCCACAGAGGTTCCCAGGAAGCTCCCAAGAGGCCTTGCTCAATTGTTGGAGAAACTTCGAGCTCTGCGCCGGGCCCAACGCTTACGTAGAAGAAGAAGAAGAAGAAGAAGAAGAAGAAGAAGAAAAAGAAGAAGAAGAAGCACCAGGTTGCCAAGCAGGCGGCACATGATGGTCCGGTTCCCCCTCATCTTCCTGATGGCCCTCAGCCTCGCGATGAGGCCATGCAACATCCAGCAGGTGCAGCCAGCCTGCGCGCAAACCTCGGGGGAAGTCCTGCTGCATAGCCCGCGCTGGTGCCTGCTCTACGTCTGGGCGCTGCGTCGCCCTCGCCGTCTGGACGTACAGTGTCTGCTCGGCGCGCCGCTGGCACAGCTCCGTCTGTAATGTCTGACACCATGCCGCGAGCTGATTCATCAGATGGCGCGAGTACTCACACTTTGGGGAGATCTCTTGCAGCGTCATCTGTGCCAGCCCCAAGTACTTTACAATCTCGGGCGGATCCGAAGGGCGCTTCGGCAGGGAAGCCGTCCTGTGGCCGTTTGTGGAGATGCCGGCGGTTCAAAAGCCAGCTGGACTCAACCTTACACGGGACAGGAAAAGAAATTGCCTGCTTCTTTCTCTGTTTGACCGGTGGTCTGATCCGCCCGCTTTCACATGTGCTCCGGTAGTTCAGCTGGGTGGCTGCATACTTCGAGCAGTTCTGCACTCTTGTACTTCATGTTCCAGAGACAGAACAACTTCTGAGGGGTGTCCTTTCTTACCTCTTCGGCTTCTCGTTCCGCACGTGAGCCAATCTGAGGCCGCGATTGCTGCAACAGGCCTCAAGCAGCCTAACTCGTTATGCTTTGTAGAGGACAGGTAGCCCCTGTTCAGTTTCCTGTCACGCCCCCCGTCCTCCTCCTGCTCCTCCTCCTCCTCCTCCTCCTCCTCCTCCTCCTCATCATCATCATCATCATCATCTTCCTCCTCCTCCTGATCTTCCCCGCCATCCTCCCCCAAGCTTTCCCCGAAGGGTTTCTACAACGGCTGGGGAAACACATAGTCCGATAGCTTGGTAGAGCTCTTGCCACAACGCTCGGCCACATGGGCGATTTCAAAAGGCAGGGGACGGCGGTGATTCGCCGTAGGCGTCTTCGATATCCGCCGCCCCCTGTTGATTTATCACAGGGGTGCCCACCGTGCTGGACTTCTTACGATTTAAGTATGGCTCTTTCCCATTCGAGCTCCCCCTTGGGCTTCGGCCCGTCCCGCCAGCCCTGCGAAGACCCGGTTGCCAAGGTTGTTCCTGCTCCGGACGGCTCTAAGATGACTCAAGATCGCCTCCAAGACGGCTAAGATGGCCCTCAAGTTCGCTCAAGATGGTCCGACATGACTTCCAAGACTGCCCAAGAGAGTCCAAGATGCCTCCAAGTTCACCCAGGAAGGCTCCAAGACGGCCCAAGACCGCCCCAGAGGCCCCCAAGAGGCCTCCAAGACGGCCCAAGAGGCGTCGAAGAGGTCCTCCAGGAGGGCCCGATGAGGCCAACATCATTGATTTGTCTTAGGTGTGTATAGGTTTGGGGGCAGTTGCTTCTTATCGGCTTTTCGACGGCCCAAGACGTCCCAAGACGGCACACGAGGCCCCGAGATCGTCTCAAGATGGCCCGTACGGCCTCCAAGATGGCCCCAGAACGGCCCAAGAGGTCTCCAAGACTGCCCCTAGAGGGCCCCAAGACGGCCTAAGAGGCCTACAAAACGCCCAAGATGGCCTCCAAGACGGCCCTGGAGCATGGCCCCCAGTCGGCCCAGAGAGGCCCCCAAGACGGCTTCCGACGGTGTCAGACGGGCCAGGAGGCCACCAAGACGGCCCAAGATGACTCCAAGATGGCCCAAGACGGCCTAAGAGGCCCCGAAGAGGTCTCCAAGACGGCCTAAGAGGCCCCCAAGAGGGGGCCTCCAGGAAAGCTCGAAGAAACCATAGTAAATGTCCCTTAGGTTTTTGGCATGTGCTTCTTTTCGGACTTCCGACGGTCCGAGGCGGCCCAAGAGCCCCCAAAGATCGCCCCAAGATCGCCCAAGAGGCCCCCATGATTACCCCAGAACGACCCCAAGAGGGCAAAAGAGGCGTCCAAGACGCCCTAGATGGCCTCCAAGACGGCCCCGGAGCACGCCAAGAGGGCCCCGAGTCGACCCAGAGAGGCCCTCAAGACAGCCTCCGACAGCGTCAGACGGGCCAGAAGAAGATGGCCCAAGATGGCTCCCAGATGGCCCTAGACGGCCCAAGGGGTCCCCAAGATGTTTCCAAGACGGCCGAAGAGGCCCCCAAGAGGGGGCCTACAGGAAGGCCTGAAGAGGCCAAACTCTTTGGTTGTCCATAAGCTTTGCAAGGATTTTGGCATTTGCTTCTTTTCGGTCTTCCGACGGCCCGAGACGGCCCAAGAGCCCCCAAAGATCGCCCCAAGATCGACCAAGAGGCCTCCAAGATGGCCCCAGAACTGCTCAAGAAGTCCCCAGGACGGCCCCAAAAGGGCCCCAAGACGGCCCCAAGAGGGTCCCGAGACGGCCCAAGAGCTCCCAAAGATCGCCCAAGAGATCTCCAAGATGGCCCCAGAACGGCCCAAGAGGCCCCCAAGACGGCCCCAAAAGGGCCCAAGAGGGCCGCAAGACAGCCCCAGAGGCCTCCAAGACGCCCAAGATGGCCTCCAAGACTGCCCTGGAGCACCCAAGGAGGGCCCCAAGTCGGCCCAGAGAGGCCCCCAAGACGGCTTCCGACGGCGCCAGACGGGCCAGGAATGCCCTGAGACAACCAAAGAGGTCCCTGAGAAGCCCCCCAATGCCCCCCAGAGGCCCACGGAGGCCCCCAAATTGCCTGCAAGAGGCTCCGAGGAAGCTCCCAGGAGGCCCCAAGAGTGCCCCAGAGGCTCCCAAGATGCCCCCTCCTCCTCCTCCTCTTCCTCCTCCTGATCTTCCCCGCCATCCTCCCCCAAGTGTTCCCCGAAGGGTTTCTACAACGGCTTGGAAAATCATGGTCCGACAGCTTGATAGAGCTCTTGCCACAACGCTCGGCTACATGGGCGATTCCAAAAGGCAGGGGACGGCGGTGACTCGCCGTAGGCGTCTTCGACTCCAAGACGTCACCGGCGCGAAACATACCAGCCTCCCTTGGGCCTCCCACCCCTTCCCGGTAACGCACGGTGTCGCCTGGGACTGCTGGGCGGTGCTTCACGGGGGAAAGATCGACAGAAGCCAAACGACACCAACCCCACCTGCGACCCAGCGATTGCCCGCCTACGACCACCTACGACCCGCCCACGACGACATCACCCTACCTACGACACGCCTGCGACGCAGCGGGTCGTAGGTGGGGTGGTGCCGATTTCTCTTGGTCGCCATTTCGTATCCTTTCTGGGTCCCAGCGGGCCCCTTTAGGGTACAAAAGGTGTAACATTGTTCCTCCCCCATGTAATCGTTCCCCATGACGCAACGCCAAGGAATCAAACACGCCCTTCATCTGGCTGATTACGTGAAACTCTTAAAATACATGTGAGAGGCACTGAGGCGAGAGCCACATTTGGAACATGCACCGCTCTCCATTCGCGCAGCTGCTGTTGGACAGTGCTGAGGCGAACGCTCGCGGGGCAACGTCGAGAACCTCATCTTTCAAACTGGCCGCCATGAATCCGTGAAGCTCTTGGACTACGCTAACGTTAACGTTGATATGTTCGACCGTGGACCTCTTGTTACCCATCGCTGCTGGGCCGTCTTCGGCGGTCTTCGGACGGTTTTCGGCAATCTTCGGCGGACTCTGACGGTTTCCAGCGGTCTTGGGCGGTTTCCAGAGGTCTTCGGCGCGAAAGTTGGATGGTGTTCAACTAAGGGTTCATGATCGAGCACCAGGATCATAAGTGGGGAGAACGTCTCAGTCGACACGTCTGGTGCGACGAGAAGCACTTAACCGACTGGAAGAACAAGTGGGGTGGAGAAGGAGGCGATGGTAATTGCAGGAGGGAGGACGAGGGGGAGGGGGGAAGTCACAGGGAGAAGGAGTGAGTGCAGAACATGGAGGAAGGCGGACTGGCGGGATGGAGGATGCGGGCGAGGAAGAGAGGGAGGAGGAGCGGCGTGGCGGCGGACGCAGGCGGTGGAGGGAGGCGGAGGGGGCGGAAGAAGCGGAGGAGTCGGGGAAGGCGGGGAAATTAATCAGGTGGGGTAACTGGACGAAGCAGAGGAGGCAGAAGAGGCAGGGAAGGGGGAGGGGGAGGGAGGTGAGGAAAAGGAGGAGCAGGGCGGAGCGGCAGGACGATGAGAGAAATTGGGGGAGGGAGGAGCAAGGGGAGGCCTCCAAAATGCACCGGAGGCCTCGGGAGGTCCCTCGGAGGCATCTGCCATGAACGCTCCCGACAAGAGTCTGTCCAGAGGCCCGCCGAGGCCAAGGCGTGCTCAGCTACATGCCCAGACCTGGACCTCCCCTTACGAAGCCAGGACCTGGACCGAACTCGGACCAGTACACATCGGGGATCGCTGAGATCCGGCGGTCCTGGAGGATGCATCGGGCGGCGCCGCGGCCGTTCCAGAGCGCTCTTGAACGCTCTGAGACATCCTGGAGCGATCTAGAACTTTTATCCTGGTCCCAGCCACGCCTGGTTCCTGCCTGGCGACAGGGGCAGGCTGGAGGCAGTGGCAGCAGGATCACCCAGAATCGTGTCGTGAAATCGGGTCGGATCGGAAGGTGCGTCGGATCGGGCCACATCGGCATGGAGTCGAAGACGGGCTGGATCTGCTTCGCCGGATTGTGCATGCACAACAGCGCCATGCAAACCACACATCGGGCCGCGTGGGGTCGTCGGTATATCAAGACCGAATCGGATCGAGCCGGCCGGAATCGGAATCGACCCTTGGAGGTCGCCTTCCAGCTCGAAGAGGGTGAACAGGCCGCCGCAAGATACCCGCCTGCACCCAGAGCCGCCCGAGCCCTCCATCGCGAGCGGTACGGGCCTGTGCACGACCCGCTCCTGGGCCGAAAGCGCGGGCGGGGAGGATCCTGCTCCACCGCCACAGAGTCGTGACGCAACGACCTGGGCGTTGGTTTCTGACACCGCGTGGGCCGTTCAACTCTGAACTATCGCGGCATCCCGATAGCGCAGATCGCTCGACATCGGCTGGCGGACGGCTCACTGGCGGCTTGCAACCTGAAACTTCCGCACTGTCGTCGCCGCCGAGTCGACACGACACAAACCTTCCGTAGGCCTAGACCTCCGGCGTGTTGACAAATCAAGACAGAGATTTGTCTTATCCGCGTATGGGGGCAACTCGGAGCAGGGCGAGTTGAGACACTGGAAACTCAAAATCTGCTCAAAATCGGTCCCCTGACCCCTCCCCAGGTCCAAACGCACTGGTTTTGCGAGCTGCGTCCAGCCATGGCGACGAGGGGGGCCCACGAATGCCAACTACCAGTGCCTCAAACGGTCCTTCGCGGAGCAACGTGCTGGCTCGAGCACCGTGGACAACAAACTGCCCGGGACGAAAAACTGGCCTCCAATAAGGGTCGATGCATCGGCGACGTCGGCGTAGAGAAAGTCGCGCTCCACATCGAGCCGCATCGCCAATGCATCGGCGGTGCGTCGGCGATCCGGTGCGATCCTCCGACCCCATCTACTCCGACCCCATCTGGGAGGCCTAGAATAGGGAACCCACAAAAGACGTATGCGCCCAATCATGTACATGTACACGGCCCCCCAGTCCGCGAGGCCGGCCGCATGATACGAACGTTGGCGCGATGCGCACTTTCGAAACCAACGTGGACTCATTTACGTATACGTCCTTCTTCTTTCGCTCCAGATGGAAGAGCTGAGAATTGCCAGCGTGAGCGAGCAAGTCCCACCAGCCCTCCGGGCGTAGGTTGTTTCACGAGTTCTGTCTTCTCTCTATCCAGCATCCCTCCTTGCCCTACTCGGGGGAGGGGTTTCACCCTCCCCCAAACCCCTCCCCTGGGCCTGGGAGGGGGGGAGGGGGCGCGAGGAGTTAGAGCCCCAAAATTCCCACTTGTGGTGACCCAAACCCGGTCAGCGACGCAGTCTCAAGCGCGTGAAACGCCTCTGGGAGACGCATGCACGGACGCTTCAAAGTTTGCCTGGGGAGCTTGCAAATTCGACAAAAAGGCTTCGAAGAAGCTCCCAAGGAGCTTCGGAGGAGCTGCGGAAAGGCTTCCAGCACGCGTCTTATGAACGAGTAGGGGAACGCGGCCGGAACACGCTGCGAGCTGAAGCAACTCGCTGCGGGGATGTCTGCTCACCGCCGGAAAGAGCTGCCGGGCCAACCTGTGCTGCTGGCTTCTGCAGCGGAGGCTCGACCACAAGAAACCTCCCAATAGAAGCCCAACCCTGAGACCCCAGGACGTCCATTGATCCTTGGCGTGGGAACGTCGCGCGTTCCATAGCAGAACCCTCAAAACCCTCGAAACCCAGGGCACCCTGGGGGCAAGGTGAACGTTTTCTGATTCGGCGTTTCGACATGGGGCGGAAGTGGGGGAAGGGGGGATCTGGCTGAACCTCTGCTTACTGCGACTGTTCGGAACTGTGCGCCGTCTGGTGGAGCGACTCTACCTGCTTGAAACAGGCTCCCCAAACAGCCAAGATCTACTCCACGGAGGGGGGGATGTCAACTGGAACCCTTTACGTTGATGATTAATAGCATTTCATGTGTTTCTTAGCACAGTATTTGCAGCAGTGTATCAAGCAGTGCGTTTCATGTTTGTTGGACCGTCGCTGTTTCATGATCGACGGGCCCCAGAGTCGCACAAACGGTTGCGTTCTTTGTTCTTCGTCACGACGAGATTATTCATAGTGAGCCCGAGATACGACAGACAGTATTCTCTAGAGAGTCCGTGCAGGAATTCGTATGCTTTCACCGGTTGATATTGGCAGCGGAGCAGGTGGTCCGCCCCACCTGCTCCCCCGATTCCAGTCATGCCGCCGGCGCCGGGCGCCTCGCCGCCAACCTCGCCGCCAGCGACACCGCCGACGAGGAGAACGGGTGCGAGATCCGCACCAAGGGCTGCAGGAGCTGCCCCAGCCGCCGCGGCCGGTGCGCGGGCCCAGGCGGCGGACGGGACACAGATCCCGAGCAACGCTGCCAATGCAGATGCATTAAAACGTCCTGAAAAATAGAGCTCATGATACAGTGGGGGCACGCAACGAAAATGTCACGAGTTACGGCCCGCAAATCGTATCATTTAGTCCTGGGCATTTGCCGCAACGGTCTGGACGGTCACGCGGCGGGGAGGGAGAAGGAAGAGGAGGGGGAGGGAGAAGGAGAGGGGACCACATCGGGGACCAGCCTGAAATCGAGGATAGGCTGGTACGTCCTGAAATCGCTGCTGCCTGCACGACCCTCCCAGCTCAGATGATCTACGATCAAGCACGCTGAACTGCAAATACCGTGCAGGGATGCCCCAATGGAGTGAGACAGGCAAGGCAAAGAGATGCACCCAAATGGCAACTGATAGACTGATGAATGGATGAGGCTGTCCACACGGCCATGCCGTGTGGAGGCGGCAAGCCAACGCAGGCAATGCGGGCAAGCAGCGGCTCCCTGCTGGGAGCAGCAAACGAGACCGGGCGGCGCGTCGCTGGCCCACCGCCGCGTGCAGCAGGCGCATGAGCCAATTTTCTGCACAACCGCGGCCACCCTGGCGCACGCCGTGCCAAAATCCCGGGAGAGGGGGAGGCGACGAGGAGAGGAAGATCACGGAGGGCAGGAGGAGATGAGGGCGACTGCACGCTAAAAACGAGCGCTCCAGGCCTCCACAGCCGCGGACACACCTGCCAGCTCCGAACAGGAGGGGTGGGGGCGACTGCACGCTCGAATCGAGCGCTCGGGGCTTCCACAGTCGCTGGCCACACCTGCTGGCTCAGACAAACAGATCGGCACCACGATTCGGAGGGGGAGGGACGAGGCGGAGGGAAGAGGCGGAGGACGGAGGGAGGGAGGAGGGGAGGGCGGCTGCACGCTCGAGTCGACCGCTCGGGGCCTCCACCGCCGCAGACTCAACTGCCATCTCCCACAAACAGATCGGCACCACGATTCGGAGGGAGAGGGAGGGCGAGGAGGCAGAGGACGGAGGACAGGAGGGGAGGGGGGCGAGGAGGGGGACGGAGGACAGGAGGGGAGGGGGACGAATGCATCCTAACATCATCCCTGCTCTGGTAAGGAAAGACTCGCTCTCCATCCGTGTAGTTGTTGCACAAGCTCTCACTTCTGGTCACGCAACCTAGCGAAGTTCCAAGCGAGACCAACGTTGTAAAAAAAAGAATCGCCCTACATCCGTGTAACTGGTACGCATTGTTACTGCACTCGTGGTAATCGTGGTTCGAAGAACTCCCAGGCGAGCACCTGCTTTTGACAAACATATCGGTCTCCGTCTGGCGTGGGAATACTGGGAAATTGTAACACGAATGTGCTCGGCGTTAAAGCGATACTTACATTGCGAAAAGATGATCGCCTACATCCGTGTGACTGCTGGATCTGTTTAAGACGCATGTGCGCTGCGCCCAGGCGAGAACCACACTTTGACAACGTACCAGCTTCATGCGTGGAGCTGTGTTGGACACTGTTTGCGACGAGTGTGCGGGGCGCCGAGAAACCTAAAACTAGGTTTTGGCGAGGTACCGTCCTCCATCCGTGTGACCGTTGGAGGATGTTCAAACTTCGGGGTAATGAAAACTAGATATGTCTCGAGCAAAATGCCCGGCCTGGTACGGACACGTCTGGTGGTGCGTCCTCCAGAGCTCCAAATTGAAGGACACCGGGCTGTTATGACAGAGGGGATCCAGAGCGAAGGAGGGTCCCCCCTCGGCCGGTCCTCGCCCTGGCCGCACTGCCCTCTCTGGTTGTCGCCCCAGGTGTGCACCAGACCTGTACGTCTTGTGTAAAGACCGTCATGGAACAAAGAATAATCATGAGCGGCGGCGAGGATGTAAACTTGCGGGCGTCCTCGTGGGTTTCTTCGATCGGCACTGGGCCCCGCTCCCTGGCGCGCGGAGCGCGGCAGGGGCGGCGCTGAAAGCGCCGCTGAGGGGGCCCAACGCCGATCCCAGAAGTCCGCTCGGATTCGTGCCGTGTTCACTCCTCCGAAGATCGGGCGTTGGCAAGACTGGGGTTAGCGAGACCTGGTGTAGCGATGTGTGCTGGGTGACGCTACACCCCCACCGCATTCCTCTAGGCGGAACTGCCGTCGTCCGAAAACACACCATCTACGACAGTCCTGGTTCGGTGACTCTGTTCTCCTGCGGCTTCGGGGCCCAATCATTGGCCAGCTCCCCCCACCTGGGGTCCTGGCTATAATTACCCGATTTTCTCTTCGTGCCGGGTTCTCTCCTCCGAAGACCTCTGTCGTCGATGGCGGCGCTGTGGAACCCACCGAGCGACACGGCGCTGGCCCGTGCCCCGAGGCCCTCCAGCGGCCGCGGCGCGGTGACCGACTTCGCGCCTGGCCCGTGGCCGAGCTGACCTGAGGGGAAACGGTACGGGGGGGTCGGCACAGGTTTTTTTTTTGAGGGGGGGGTGTCTTGTTATTCTCCGACCGCGCCGGACCACCCATACCACCTCCTCCCTCTGTGCACCAGACAATGCTGATGATTGCCATGATGATGGCCATGGTATGGTGAGAGTATGATGTGAGTATGATGGTGATGCTGAATGATGAATGATGAATGATGGATACCGGATGATGATGGCGATGATGATGATGGTGAAGATGATGATGGTGATGATGATGATGAGGATGAGGATGAGGATGAGGATGATGATGATGATGATGATGATGATGATGATGATGATGATGATGATGATGACCATGACGATGACGATGACGATGACGATGACGATGACGATGACGATGATGATGATGATGATGATGATGATGATGATGATGATGATGATGATGACGATGACGATGATGACGATGAGCAGATGATGAGGATGTCTCGAGCGGCTTGCTGGTTCTGGCACTCCCAAGGGGGGGCCGCCAGGGGTATTGCACGGGCCTCCGTTCGCGCCAAAATGGTGGGGATGTCTCAGGCGGTTTGCCTGTCTGGTCCGCAACATCATCCGCTTTCGGAGCAGATTCTGAGGATGTCTCAGGCGGCTTGCTGGTTTTAGCACTCCTACAGGGGGGGCGCCAGGGGTGTTGCACGGCCTCCGTTCGCGCCCAAATAGTGGGGATGTCTCAAGCGGTTTGCCTGTTTGGGTCCTCAACATCCTACGCTTTCGGAGCAGATTCTGAAGATGTCTCAAGCGAGGCGCTGGTTTTCGCACCCCTAGAGGGGGCCAGCGTTCGAGGATGCCTCAAGCGGTTTGCGTGTTTTGGTAGTCTGACTCGTCTGCTGTCAAAACAGATTCTGAGGATGTCTATGGCGAGGCGTTGATTTCCGCACTCCCGGAGGGCCCAGATTGCGAGGATGTCCTAGACTCACTTATGCTCAAACTCACTCGTGCTCTGGCTCACTCATACTCAGACTCGCACTCATCATACTCATACCCACACTCACTCACACCCAGACTTACGCACACTCAGACTCACTCACACTTACACCCACCCACCCTCAGACTCATTCGTAGTCAGCCTCACTCGTACTCAGACCCACTCAGGGCCAGTTTCATATCTATCATACTCATACTCAGACGCACTCACATTCAGATTTACGCACGCTCAGAATCACTCACACTCAGACCCACCCACCCTCATATTCACTCGTAGTCAGACTCACTCGTACTCAGACCCATTCAGACTTAGACTCGTACTCGCTCTACTCATACTCAGACGCAGTGGTTTTCGCACCCTAGGGGGGCAGATTGCGAGGATGTCCCAGACTCACTTGTGCTCAGACTCGTACTCATCATACTCATACTCAGACCCACTCACACCCACTCCATGCAAATAGGTGCACTTCTGGAGAGCTCCACGCAGTGACTATTTCAAAAAAGAAAAGCACTCATTCTTACGATTGTTCATGCCGAGGCGTTTCCGGAGCTCGAATAACCAGTCCAGAGGGTTCGCATCGATAACGTAGCACCCCGCAATTGCGGATAAGAGTGAGGGGGCGGGCGCGGGCGACGCGGGCGTCGAGCCAGCGGACCTCGTGGCCCTCACCTTCCATGTCGATGGCGCCCTCCTCATCCTCCTCCTCCTGCTGCTCCTCCTCCTCCTCCTCTTCCTCGTCCGCGTCCTCGTCCGCATCGCCGTCGCCGTCGTCGTCGTCGTCGGAACGAATGCAAAAATATCCCGCCGCAGACGCAGACATTTTGGTTTGTTCAGTGAACGTAGTTTGGGTCGCGGGTGGGTCGCGGGCTCTCCACCTCCATGTGGAAGGAATTCAAAAACATCCCGCCGCAGGCGCCGAACATTTTGATGTGTACACTGAGCGCGGCTTGGGTCGCAAATTCTCCACCTGGAACGACTGCAAAACAGCCCGCCGCAGGGCTGAAGTTTTGGCTTGTTCAGTAAACGTAGTTTGGGCCGCGGATTAGTCGCAAGCCTTCCACCTCCATGTGAAAGGAATTCAAAAAGAACCCGCCGCAGGCGCCGAACATTTTGATTTGTACACTGAACGCGGTTTGGGTCGCGGGTGGGTCGCAGGTTCTCCACCTGGAACGAATGCAAAAGACGCCAACCGCAGGCGCCGAAAATTTCGGGTGGGTCGTGGGGTGGGCCGCAGGTGGGTCGCGGTTGGGTCGCGGGCGCGGTTTGGGTCGCGGGTGGGTCGCAAGTTCTCCACCTGGAACGAATGCAGAAGAAACCCGCCGTAGGCGTCGAAAATTTTGGGTGGGTCGGGGTGGGTCGCGGGTGGGTCGCGGTGGGTCGCGGGTGGGTCGCTGGTAGGTCGCGGGTGGGTCGCGGGGTGGATCGCCGGTGGGTCGAGGGTGGGTCGCGGGTGGGTCGCCAGGGGGGTCTCGGGGTGAGTCGCGGGCGGGTCGCGGGGTGGGTCGCGGGTGGGACGACGAAAACAACAAACAACACACAACAAACAACAAACAACAACCAACAACCAACAACCACCAACCACCAACCACCAACCACCAACCACCAACCACCAACCAGCAAACAGCAAACAGCAAACAGCAAACAGCAAACAGCACCAAGAACAACACCACCAACACCAACACCAACAAACGACAAACAACAAACAAACAAATAAACAAACAACCAACCAAACAAACAAACAAACAAACAAACAAACAAACAACACCAACACCAACACCGACACCAACACCACCACCAACCACAACAGCAACATCACCAACGCCAACAACAACAACAACAACAACAACAACAACAACAACAACAACACCAACAACAACAACAACAACAACAATCATTTTACCCTCATGCGCCATGCTTCCACATGACACATGCATCCATCTGGATAACACACCCCATCATGGGGGATTTTTCTGGCATGCGGGATCCGATATTCCCTCACCCAGATATCCCGCCCAAGAAGGTTTGGCCACCACCTCTTCCGAGGAACTTCAACATCCATAGCTCGGACGGCACATCGCCTTCGCAATCGCCTTGCGCATGCCCCGCATCTCAGAGGGAGAGGAAGAGGAAGAGGAGGGGGAGATGAGAGAGATAGGGAGGGGGAGGAGGAGAAGGGAGGGGGAGGAGGGGGAGGAAGGATGAGTAGTTGTAGTAGCAGCAGTTGATGATATTGTTGTTGCGGCTGTAGCACTAGTAGTAGTGGTAACGGTAGTAGTAGTCCAAGTAAGAGCCAAGCGTTCATAGCGACGTTGCTTTTTGAATCCTCCTTTAATGTCTTCTCTCCCTATCCTTGAGACGCAGAAGTCTCAAAAAGTTAGATGGCTCAGCGCATCCAGGAAACCTATCGCTGGACCGGCCCAGATATGGTTCCAGAAGCGGCTCGGGAAGCTGCGCATGCGCCAGAAGCAGAGAAGCACCACGTACGGGCGCCGGCTCGGGCGTCCGGCCCAAAGCCGCTCCAGAATCGGCCCAGGACGGCTTCCCGGGCGCCGCAAGCAGAAACTCAGCAGTTTCAAAAGAAAAATGTGTATTGGAATGGCCTCTTTTCGGCGCGATCGGAACTGCCCGGGCGTCCCGCCCGGGAGCCGGGCCGGGTGCCGGCCGGGCCGGGTGCCGGCCCGAGCTCCGGAATCGGCCCGGACGGCCTCCCGGGCGCCGGGAGCAGAAATTCAGCATTTTCGAAAGAAAAATGTGTATTGAAATGGCCTTTTTTCGGCGCCGCCTCGGAACTCGATTTTCCGGCGCCCGGGCGCCGGCTCGGGCGCCGACCCGGGCGTCCGGCCCGGGAGCCGGGCCGGGTGCTTTGGTGATGGCGTTGACATATGAGATCTATGTCAGATGAAGTCACTTATAAGTTACTTCAATTATATATGAAGTTATTTGTAAGTAACTTGAAATCACTTGTAGTGAGATATGTTAAGATCCTGCAACTACCATCCACATCTAACTTAATTCATTAACATATATACTTAAATCACATGTAGAACATATGTTACTTGTGTGCACCCAATTGCCATACTTATAAGTTACTTGTAGTTATACTTATAAATAAGATAAGTTTAAGTCCGATAAGTCTGCTTTTTCGTCTGCTTTTTGAAAAGGGGGTCGGAAACCGAAAAACGCGCAGGTTTTCTTCAGCACAGTGTTTCGCCAGGCGCCAGGCGACCGAGAAGGCCGTTCATCACCGAGCTCAACCCGCGCAGCCTGGGGGGTAGGAGAGAGGGGGCGGGAATGGCGGGGGGGGGATCGGGAGGGGATGCCATGCGCATTGGCGGCACACCGCCCGCACTTCTCATCGCGGCGCGTTCTGATGTGATTCGTTTCGGCGGCCCACCGCCCACGTCTTGCAAATTCTGAGCAGTTTTATCGCATTGGCGGCGCACCGCCCATCGCTATGTTTTGCCCGCGTATTGCAATTTGTACGTTTTGCACATGTTGATTGAAGTTTCGTCGCGTTGGCGGTGCACCGCCCACGTTCCCTTGATTGCGCGAATCGTTTCTTCACGCATCGGCGGAGCACCGCCCACGCAGCACGTTTCATCCGAATTCGTCATCGAATTTGGCGGTACACCGCCCACGTCCCCGTGATTGCGCGATGCGTTTCTTTCGCGTTGGCGGTGCACCGCCCGCGGCGCATGCTTCGCCCGAGTTTGTCATCGCATTTGGCGGCCCACCGCCCACGTCACCTTGATTGCGCGAGGTGTTTCTGCATTCGTTGGCGGTGCACCGCCTTCGGCGCACGTTTCATCATATACCGTTTGATTGGTCGCATTGGCGGCGCACCGCCCAGGAGGGGGGAGGAGGGGAGAGGGGGGAGGAGAGGATAGCAGAAGGAAGACGTGAAGGGCCATGCCATTTCCCTTCGCCACAATACGCTGCCCCTGTCCCACCGAGCGCTTCTGGAGGGGCCGCGGGGCGGGCGCCCCCCGACGCGCCGCGGCGCGATGGAGCGCGTCCAGGCTGCCCTG